TCTTTAGTTCACTTTGCTATTTACAAGTTGTACATTGTTTCACGTATATATCAGAGCGTAACCAGCTAATTTTTATTTCCAATAATTCTGCAAAAAAGAGATTTTAATACAAAGGTAACACTTTTTCATCAGTTATGTAAATCAAAATAAAAACAGGCTAGTCAGTGATTGTTTAACTTATATAACAGAGGACAATAAATGGCTTCTTGCCAAAGGATATTTTCTTTAAAATAAGTAGGTTTTTTCCCAAAAATCTTAACGTACACCAGCTTTTTTATTTCCCAAATTAGCAAAGTTAGCGATAATTTTCCCCAAAATCAAGAAGCACAGGTCTCTTCCCACTAATCAATGCTAGCTTTTTTAAATGAATAGTATTTAAAAACGAGAATAATAATGGTAAAAGTGTGAAATATCGTATACTTTCTTATACAAATGTCCCCCCGATCGATGAAATTGAATAAAATATCAAGCTTGAAATACTAGTAAGAAAAATAAACTTTTTCCTTTGGAAACAAAACAATTTTTTTTGTACATATGCTACCTAGTTCAAGGTATCCCGAAAATGTACCTTACAACAAAAAAGTATCAACACTGTTATTATTTGTAAATTAAACAATTGATGTGCATTTTTTTATTATAAACGATACATTGCCTTATACAAAGAATATTGAATAAGTGTACTAAACAGTATTTAACACACAAAATATACATACACACCCAAACATTGTTAAAAAAAAGTAAAGAAAATATGAAACAATCCTTAGCAGTTATTTGTGTGTGCATCTGAATGGTTATTTTTCAAAATGAAATAACACATACCTGTTACAACAACGAAGAAAACAGTTATATGATTCAAAGCGTTAAAAGAAATACTTGTTACCACATTAAAAAGTTAAACTTATCATAACGTCTGCAACATTGCTAACCAAACACAAGTATAAAATGACTTACCTGCCAATGTTGTGGCACTTGGAACTGGTGTTTAAACTGCGTAACTTTCATTCTTTTATTCCCTAAATTTTGCACCAGCTTGTGAAGAATTGTATACATTTATCATATTACGATCAGCTGTTCCATTAATAAAGTTTCTATTTGTTAGATCATATCCCACACATATAATTCTACTGACTTTTTCCATAAGAGTTTCTATTGTAACTGTTTGAAATATAAAGGTATCGAAGAAGTAGCAATGATGATCCAACCTTGATTCTGTCAGGATTTGGATATATCACCATCATTCTATGCAATAATGTTAAATAAATAGTGAATGAAAACAAAATCACTTAACAACACGTTTGTCTGTCATATCCATACAACAATGAAACGACATCTGAAAGTGATTCTTTGTAATCCTTTGCTGTTATTGTTAAGTCAGCGATAAACACTAATAAACCTGGTGAAAACAAAGTAATCTGTATCAGGTTGATGGGAAATCTGTCATTCATACAAATCAATCTCCACGCAGGAGTTTGCGTACAAAAAGATAAGCTAGCTTTCACACGTATACCACGAAGTAGTACATTGCAAAAAACTCTTTGTAATATTTAACTTGAAGATTTTTGAAAATAATAAATTTCGAGCCATTTTGATGTGTTGAGGTAAAATTATGTGTCCAGTTACTCATTTGTATTTTTCTGTGTAAATTTTGGTTGCTGCGGATTGGTTCATTCTTTGGGAAGACAAAAAGGTAATCGGGGAAATCACATACATTATATTCTGCATATATTATCTGCATAGTAATTGACATTTTGTTTTCAGAATAAAAATTGTCTTAATCTGTAAAATGTGAACTGGTATATAAAAACATTTAATTCAGTGTTTGAATTGGTATATTCCATGGTACTAAATATAGCATGTATCATTTGATGAAACTAATTTAAACTATATTTCATACAAGATTAAAAGTTGTTTTGAATCACTCCAAATGAATCAGTCAAATGCTATAAAAATCGAGTCTGCTAAGCAAAATTTTCAAAATTAGCTCGGGCTGATTTACATTGAGATAATATCTTTGTAAAAGATAATACTCATGAGAAACAACACCCTTTATCATTGTCCATTTCAACTCTACCATCGCTCTACGACCAAAATAACCAAACATGACAAATTGGCGAGTTTAATTTTAAATTCTAAACAAGACTTTTTTGAAAAATCACTTATGAAAATATCAGCCTTTAATAACTCTGAAAAACATTATAACGTTCAGAAATAATTATTTTTACACATTGCCAAATGTTTATGATAAAACAATCGAAAGCAATAAACAAGGTACAATGTAGTATCTCAAAAAGCAATATCTATTTGTCCTTTTGTATATCCCAGGGTTATCTTGGGTTTAGAAACATAAAATCCTGGATCGCTAGGCTTTGTGTTATCACCATATATATCATAACATCACATAGCTTGTGTATATAATTTATTGTGGATTTTGTTATCACCTTACAAGCTGCTTTCATAATATACATTTCAATTCGTTTTTGGACAAGCATATCAACAAAATCGTTACAATAGTGATGTTTTAGGCATGTATATCCACATTTTCTTTCACTGTGTGCTTTGCTTTATTGCCAACCATTTCAAAACAACAGACATATGGTTATAACAATGTTATTTCGTCGTCAGATTGCATAGAATGTTACACAATATTATCAGTACATACTGGTAGTTAATCTATTCTTTTGTTTCTGCTATACCGCAAAAACAAAAGAATAATATTGCTACATCCGACTATCCAGCCGTCGATGTTGTTTTGAATTGATTGGCAATAAAGCGATGTAGTGAAAGAAATTGTTGATAATGTTTCCAAAAGCATCTCTATTATAACGATTCTGTGGATATGATTCTCTTGTATATTATGAAGGCAGCTTGTTGATAATCATGATTTGCTATACACAATAATAATAAGTTAGATTACATGATATAATACATCATAGCTATGGGATGTGATGCTATCTATAATATAAGCAATAATCTAGTTGATGATAATGACATCAAAAGCCAAGCGATCCCGACGTAATACAAGTCTGGTATATTTGTAACAGGACAAATAGATATTGCGTTTAGAGATTCCGTTTGAGGGAATGAACAATTTATTATTTAATGTCATACCACCCTGCTCGTGTTTTTGATGGCTTTATCGAGATCATTTCTTTCATGGCCATGTGTAAAATTAGACATTTCTGAATCATAGTCTGTACAATGTCATGATAAGTATGTATTTGACAATGTAAATCAGGCCCGTTTAACTTGAATAATTTTCCGTTGCTGAAAACATAAAATGGATGTTTTATAGCGTAGGTCTGTTACATTGGGAGTAATTCAAAATGGTTAAAACAACTTTAAATCCTGTCTGAAAAATCTTTCCACTTATTTTCATCGAATGATACATGCTTTATTTAGTACCACGGAACATTACAATTCAAACACTTATATGTTTCTATTTACCAGAAGTACTTCTGTTCGGGTATGATTTTGAACGTATATATAAGTATTCGAAAATGTTTACGAGTGACATTCATGGATGGGTCTAAATTAAACCCGTTATCTTGTTATCGTCCCAAAGAATGAACCAGTTCGCTGCATCATAAATTGAGACAAAAAACTTTAAATTAGTTACTGGACACATCATTTTACTTAAATGCATAATGTGGCGCTTTTTCTATTCTAAATCTTGCTGAAGAAAATAATTATTTTATATTCTCTTTCCTCGTCAAGGTCATTATCGATTATGTCTCAAATCCATCGGGCGTTTTAAATACAGATCAGTAAGGCAATTTATCATACTCAGCTTTGAACAAATGATATACATACCATAAATATGAATTTGTTTTTGAAATGAATTGACCTTAAAGATATACTATGCTCAAATTTGATATCAGAAAATATTATAATTGCTATACAGTCTCTTTGTTAATATGAAATAAACATGTTTTGACTTCACACAAAGTTGATATGTCATGTAATAAACTCTACACACTATAGGTCGTCACAATATGAATATATAGTGTCGTTAAAAAAACTTGCAGTTTTTTTTAAGAAAGACCAACTTTACTTGTCCTATTATAGAGCACGTGACATCAGATGCATAGTTTTATTCATTTTTTTATTCAAATTAGACATATTCAGTATGAATGTCATAGGTTTTAATAACTTTCTTCGATTAAAATATTTTACTCAAAAATGAGCATAGTATATCTTTAAATGCTCATACATATAAATAAACACTATCAAAACTGAATTTTTTTTCGATTCAAATGTTAAAGAATATGGTTGAATTCATTTATCCCTGTGGGATGGATGCTGTTACCTTCTCATTCATTTTGTAAGCTGTATTTAATATAGAACACAAAGCATTTTACTTGTTGCTGTTATTTATTTTATGTATATTCGTAAACTATATGTACCGAAGAAGTTTTTACCGCCATAATGTCATATCTCGTATAGAAGAAAGAATGATCACTGCGTGGAGGTTGAATTGTATGAAGAACGGATTTTCCGTTAACTTCATACAGGCAGATTACATTATTTCCATTGTGAAAACAAAAGAATTATCTTCAATGACGAATAGGGAACACTGCCACGTATATCTCTCAGCATAATGTGTTTTTCGCTGACTTAACCATAAAAGCAAAGGATAACAAAGAATTCCTTTCAGATATTGTTCCATTGTTGTATGAATATAAGACAAAATATGTTGTCAAATGAGTTTGCTTTGATTCACTATTTATGTAACATTCTTCACATAGTACAATGAATATATTTTCAAATTCTGACAGAATCAAGGATGGATCTCCATTGCTACTTTTTCGATACCTTGCTTTTTAAACCAATACCATAGAAACTCCTACGGAAAAAGCCAGGAGAATGGTGTGTGTGAGATATGATCTAACAAATGGAAGCTTTGTTAATGAAACAGTCGATCTTAATGATGAAAGTATAGAATATTTCACAAGCTGGTGCAAAATTTAGGGAATAAAAGAATGAAAGTTTCGCAGTTTAAACACCAGTTCCAAGTGTCGTCACAATATTGGAAGGTAAGTCCATTTGTGTTTGTGTCTAGTGAGCAGCAATGTTGTTTACGTTATGAGTTTAACATTGGTGTTATAATAAGTATTATTTTTAACGCTTTGAAACGCATAACTGTTTGTTTTTTTCGTTATTGTATCAGGTATGTGTTGTTTCTTTTTAAGCTTTTACCATTCATTCACCCAAGTAACCGCAATGTGATACCAATAATTGTTTCATATTTGTTTACTTTTGTCAATGTTTGTATTTTTGGAGTGTTTTATACTGTTTAATACACTTATTCAACATTCCCTGTGTAAGACAATTATCGTTTATAAAAATAAATGCACATCAATTGTTAAATTCTCAGATGATAAAAGTGTTGATACTTCTTTAATGTAAAGTACTTTTCTGGCAATCTTAAATCTTATTCAGATAGAAAAAATGCGATTGATATTTTTCGTTTCCAAGGTAGTTAGTCTTATAAGTTTTTCAAGCTTGATGTTTTAATCGAATTTAATCGAAAGGGGTAGGGCGTTTACATAAGATAGTAAACGTATGTGATGCTTCACACTTTTAACATTATCATGAACGCTTTTAAATGAACATTGTACGTATTAAAAAAAAGTTAGCATGGCTGTTTTCTTTATTTAGAAGAGGCATATGCTTCTTGACTTTGGGGATAATTTTCGCGAAATTTGCTCATTTCGGAAGTAAAGATTTAAAGCTGGTGTAAGTTTAGATTGAGTCGGAAATGACAACTGCATACGAAAATGGTTTAACATAATATTAATTTTTACTACACATTTTGTGAAGTTCTTTTAGGCCAGATGCGAAATTGCATGATAATGAAACACTATTTGGTACATGTAAAAGTAGCTTAACATGCATATACTATTATATGTTTTATTTTGTAATGTGCAGTATATTAAATGATAACTTGTATATTCAATATTATATAGGTAAAGGTAAAAGCGCTCTTGCTTACTTCACGCACATGGTAAAAATCATCAAACTTAACATTTTTTTCCGGCCGAAAGCCGGTCTGTTTTCAGTATAACTTCCTGTAAACTGTACAGGGAAGAACTGAATATCAGAAGAGTTTTCATTTGTCATTTTAAAATTACAAAATGAGATCTGTGAATCTCATCGGCCATTCTAAAATTAAATATAAAAGATAGTTCTTGTCATTTTAAGATAATTCTAAACTAAAATGTGAAGATTGGTTCTTGCAATTATGAAATATACTGTAAACGATTGTTAAAAAATAAAATGTTCAGGATAGTTCTTTTACAATCTAGTTAAATTGCTTAGAGAATAATATCAGGTACACTAAGTTTATGATGTTCAATAAGTATCTAATATATAATATGATTATTGATGTGTTCAATTGTTTTATTGCTAATATTTTTAAATTATTAAATTAATTTATAAAACAAAATAATTACTTTACCGACTTTGTACATGTTGGTGTTAGAAATTAAGTTCACTTACCGAAACACGGTTTGTTTAGAAACATATACATCTTAGAGTGTTCCATTTTTCAAGACCATTAATAACCTAACAAGAAATTATTATGTAATTGTTATGCAAGCTATGCTAACATTTCTATATTACTTTGCATGGAAAACTTAGAACTAACATATGCAAAGGGACCAGTTCTTCTTCTTTTTTTAAAGATAATTCTTGTTTCAGAAATACATTTCTGGATATTTGATTAAGGATGGAGAGTTTTGCGAGCTTTGTCACGGTGAGTCATTTTACTTAAATACCCGTTTTTTAACACTTTTTCCGATGAGTTGAGCAAAACACTTAATCAGTTCACTTTTTGGAATAGCTAACTATCTATAGGGATACGATAATAATGCATCAGATTGTGTAGAAGGACAAGCTTGCAGAAACCTATAATCGTGGTAAAGGCTGTATAGTTTCGGTTGTAGCATGGACATAGTTTATTTTGCTTATATTAAAGGTCCATTATTCCAGAAATGCTTTTATGTTTATTTACCAAATGCTTTTAATGTGTGGCATTCTGTAATAGTTTCCAAAAGGAGACTTAGTGGCTAATTACGTACATCATATTTTCTTATGTTGCTTTCTGGGAACTGGTACAGTTACAGATATTAAGTATTTTGTATGCAAGTCAAAATACTTCTTTATTTACAATAATTATTTGCTAGTGTTATTACTAATATTATAACATTCAAGCTTTTTTCTTCAGGTTATAAGAATCTTACATGATTGAAAGCTCTTTTTACTCGTGTTACCATAAAAAACGTTAGTCACAGTTTTATTTACTAATAGTGAAACGCTTTAAGATCAGCTTTCAGTTTCCAGGCTTCTTGTCGCCTTCGATTTCCTGCGCGGATATGGCTTGAACTTAATTATATATGTAAATGGTCAGAATATCATATTGTATTGTAGCTTATTTTGCATACTAGAAAATTGAGACTTGATTTTTGTAATGACTAATTATGTTGTTGTTGTTTTTTTTGTTGTTTTTTTTATTTGATTTTGAAAACAATGCTCCAAATGTGTGAATGAAGTATCTTTAACCATTATTATATCATATTTTCTTACCAGATTCTAGTGTCGATACTAGCGATAGGTAAACCTGTTGAGTCATTGTCATGTGAAAGTAGTGCAGACGTAAGTGGTTACGCTTGTATTTGGTAATAAAATATATTTCGATAAATGTTTCTCTTTTTTATTTTTTTCCTTTAAAATGATTATCTTTGAATTATGGTTATTACATTTTGCTGAAATTAAAATGATTATGATGCAGTTCCTTACAAAGGTATGCAATGAATAGAATCCCTATGTACCTTACATAATATGAGAATGGAAATTAGGGATGCCAGGATCAGTTTGATTGATACTGATTAAATCACGGGCCATGCTCCAAGCACCGGCTAATGCAGAAGTCAACATTTAAGAATGAAATTATTTGACATCGACAGAATGTGTTAACGAATGCAATAATTTTCGGAAAATACTTAAATCTTTATAGTACGTTTGGGAGTAAGCGCAGGTGAATGAATGTGTTGGATTGTCACTGTACTTTATCTGACTTTTTTCAAGATAACTCAGTATAAAATGTATAGCAATACTGAAATGTCTTATTTAGTTTCTCGTGTCAGATAAGATAATTTAAAAGACGGATGTACATTTTATTCTTTGGTTTATTATATCACTTTGTTAGTACAAAATAATGTTTTTGTTTCAGTAAGTAAATATAAATTAATTATGAGCTTTAATATATGAAACTATAGATAATATCTGCGTGTTATTTATGTTTATCTTAATATATATTCATCTTAGTGCGGAGAAGGAAATATTTGTACGACATCTCCAGTTACTGGTTTGGATACCTGTTACCCAGGTATTATATCATAATTTATCCAATTTCAAAAGAAGATTTTCCATGAATTAACTTACCAAATTTTTAAATATAATTTTGATGATTTTTAGAAAAACTCGTCTTTGGACAGGTACACAGGTATACGAAGTTATTTATTGCTCTCAAAGTATTTACAGTGTACATTGCTTTTAATTTTTAGATATATATATAAATGAATTTTCGAATTATTTTACAATCTCGTGTATAATCTTTTAACTAGCCATTGATTAAATGGAATTTTGTCATATATCCATAATGAAAACGTTGTTTCTCTTTTGCACACGCCTTTAGCCTCCTGTCCCGAAGGATGGATTATGTGGAATGACGAAACCTGTCTGTTTTTCAGTACAGAACAAACTAGCTGGGATAATGCAAAGGTGAGTTTCATTCATTCCATAATAGACACAATTCATTTCAGTTATTTTTAAGGCTAGCCTAGGTCTTTACTGGTGGCAAAAGTTAATAACTTATGGTTTCAGAATGGCAAGGGTTAAACTGTAGAAGTTTATGGAATTTTATATATATCTTTTAAATTTACAGAACAAAGATTTATTTTCGTCTATTTACTAAATCCAGCTGGTAAACGGAACAAACAATAGAACTGTTCAAAATGTATTGTTACCTCTTTAAATGTACATTTTTGTAAATTCTGCATTACTAAAATCACGTTTCAAACATTTTCGAATCGAACAATACAAAATGAAGAAGGTAAGTATTGATATGTCGATATGAAAAAGTCTTTTAATAAGAAATAATAAAGAGTGCAACGTTCTGGCCTAGGCAATATTCAACATTTATACATTAAATGGTGAAAATTTGAATTTAAAAAACCTCAACAGATGTGTTAATACAACAATAACCATTACAATCATTAACAACGATGCGTAATGATGATTTAGAAAATGTGAAACTAAAACGATCATATCTATTACTTACCACACTTTATTTCTAAATGACCATGACTATTTTGCAGATTGCGTGTGAAGGTCAAGATGCAGCTCTAGCAGAAATATACGACGCAGAAATGGATGCATTCGTTTTGGCTGAAGCGGAAAAAAGATCTGGTAAGCTGTGAAAGGCTAACTTTTCTTGCAAGCATTTATTATCTTAAAATCATTTCTTATATTTCATTCTCTGCATTTTCATACGCCATTACTAGTATTTGCTTTATTGTTCTATCAAAAGATAACACATAAATCAAGTATATAAAAAGATTACACTTATTATTGTTGTGCCTAGCCACCTTGACAATGTTGATACAATAATGTGCCATCTGTTACCGGTTGCTTGGGAAAAATGAAATATCCACTGGAGTATATGTGCGGTGCTAATAAAGCTCGCAGTCTAAAACAGCAATACGTGTATTTTTAATCGTAACTTTTTGTTAAATTCTTTTTAATCATACTTAGGAATTGATCAATTTATCTTATGCTATACTGGAGCTATTATATGTTGACAGATCGGTACTTTTGGCTTGGAGCAAATGACAAAGAAAGTGAAGGTAACTTTGCATGGATTTCTGGTGCACCTTGGGGATATGAAAATTGGAAAGATGCTAATCCAGATGATTGGAACGGTGAAGATTGTTTACACACATACTGGAGGTCAGGCGGTGCAGGATGGAATGACTGGGGTTGTGGTAATACAGGCGCATATCTCTGTCAAATAGACCCAATAGGTATCATTAAATTGTCATATTGTCTGATTATAGGAATCGTTCACTCTCAACACTAATATTAATGTGGTCACTAAACGATATTATTTTTTAAACAAATAACCAATGAAGACTGATGGCCTGGGGATTATAAATATTATACCGTGAACCTGTAATGGACTCGTCCTGATAAGCGTGTAACAGTATATGTATGAGAAAAAAATATATATTGCCAAAATGTTATGTTTCAAACAATACAGATAAAGATAGCGGGAACAAGAGAATGAAGTGTTGCCTTTTTCCAATATACATTGTAATTATTTATTAGCAAAACTATTACAATCGTTGTAGAAAAATGTTTCACCTGTTATAGGGATTTTCAAGATTTTATATATCAAATATTATAATTATTATATATATTGTGTAAAATCGGCGTAAATAGAAAGAAAGAAACAAATAAACAAACACCAACAAACAAAAAGGAAAAAAAATCTTGCTATATTAAACTCTCTTTTATTTTGCCTTGTCACAGTCAATTATGATGAATGTGAGGCAAGTCCATGCAAGAACGGTGGTGAATGTGTCGATGGGGATAACAGTTACACATGCACATGTCC